TATATATATATATATATATATATATTATCACAAACAAGCATCAGAAAGTCAGATTGATAACAAGTACCATCAGCGAGTAGTTTGGCACGCACGCACGCACGCACGCACGCATGCACACACGTGCGCGCGCGCACACGCACACGCTCACACGGTCACCTGTAAGGTTTTCAGGTCCTTGGTCGTGTCCTGGAGGCTGGTGGGGAGATCGGAGGCAGACACGGCGTCTTGGTTCTCGATCCACTCTATCACAGCCTGCATGCATCAAACACACAGATAAGATGCTATGTCATGTAAGGTTATGTTCTCGTACTTGTACGTGTCCACTGCACTGGATATAGTGACAATTAAGGTAGTGAGTGCCTTCAGGGATGAACCCAATAAACAAACAGGTGCATAATAACAAGGAGTGCAATGCTACTAGGTGTCTTTCTTAAAGTGGGTTTGCGTGCATGTGGGAGTGAAGCCTTGACTTGAAAGAAGATAATAATATCATATCGACGTCATCATTATTTTTGCACGAATCTTTACTTCGTAAGTTATGATGATCGAATTTATACGATTTCGAAGTATTTCATACACTATTCATGATCTGTGTGACAATCAAGAACGCGCATGCAAACACAGCCGATTTTGACATTTGTCAGTGAACAACGCAGACGATTCGTGTATGTTCCGGCACGTACGTGTATGTCTGTGACGAGAGTTTCCACGTTGGTGCGCGTTGCTTCCAGCTCGTTCTGCTTGTCCATCAGCCGATGTCCGATCATGTCGTAGCGACGGTTGGCCTCCGTCACCTGCGTCTGCACCGCGCTCAGCTCTAGAACACACGGACCACCACGTCAAAGATCGTAGATCGTCGTAACACGTTTCACTCAGAAGAGTGTGCGCGTTCCAGAACGCAGAAGAAACAGAAAAATGTGTAATCAGCAGGAATTAATGCACATCCTCTAAATGAGCCCAAACAACAACAATGGGTACGTGAGATCTAACTGACCTCTAGGTGACCTTCGCTTGGGGCTGCGCGTCAGGGTACCGGCGCCACCACCATGCACCATCTCATCATACTGTGAGCCCTGCTCCGTCATCTTGTCTACGGTTGATGAGAAATCCTCGTGCTCCTGCACCAACATCTGTGCAAGGAAGCAAGCGTGCGTGACGTCTTTGCCATTACCGTCGCAAACCGCACTTACGAACATTATTTTAAAACTGTAAAACATGAAACTGAAGCTTCGAATCTACATATGATCTAATCTATCTATCTATCTATCGATATATCTCTAATATGATATTCTCAAAATTCTATGATACCCACAGATGAACACAGATAGTGAGACATGATAGTGCCATGCTATATCAAAGAACGCCCACACATGGATATACATATAGATTATTGCCGCATGCTATATCAAATATCGTACGTACATCGATATACATATACATGATAGTCCCGTGCTATATCAAGTATCGCTACCATTACCTCGACAGTATCGATGAAGTTCTGTATACTGGCGACATCTAGTGAGGCGGTTCCCAACTGTTCTAGCTGCTCCTCCATTGCTGTTTCCCACTCTAGAACCTGCTCAGTGTAATAAAACGATAACACATGTGCATTACAACGTACGTGTGGTAATTCCAGGGGGCAATTTCAACCACAACAGTGATCACACACTCAGTGAACAGAGAATTCACAGGCAATAATACTTAAGCTTTGACTAATTAAGTAAGTAATTTAACGTCGATGGCTGTAATGTTATGGTCATTCGAGCGAAACAACGTAATCTATAGATGCATACAGCCACCTAGACACAACACTTAACATGACACACAGACCTAACACATGACCCCATGCTGTGACCATTAATCCATGCAGTGAATTGCTCGGCAGAGTGAAACATTTCGCGTCGTCACACAGATTTAATACGCGACAAACAAGTGAACAGTCACGCACTCGCGTGCGTACCTGAGCGTGCAGTAGCTCATATTCGCTGAGCTTCTGTTGTCGTTCGTCCACCTGGCCGCGTCGCTCCTTCAGCAATCCGTCGATCTCGTCCCACTTTGACTGCAGCTTCTCTAGTTTGTCCTTGACGGAGCCGGCGTCCACGACCTTGGGCCGTTCCAGCAGTGCTTGACCTACACGGACCAATCACAGGCATGACCTCACAGGGTGATATAAGAAGGTATTTACGGGGGTAATTACAATCTTAGTTCACAGTATATATTTCAAGATTTTTAATTTCTCAGTAAATTCCCCCAAAAAAGATTTCTTTAGAAAATTTCTAAAATCTTTTTCACTAAAATATGTTGATTGAACCAACACTAAAACAAGCCAAAAACAAGAGAACGTACCCGTGCCGACGACGCTCGCAAACTCGTCCGTCTTCTCGAGCGCGACTTCGTTGAGTGCGCCGACCTTGGCGGCAAAGGTCGTGGGATCGGCAATGGCGAGGTCGCGCGCTTCGAGCGAAGTCGCGAGGTCACCGAGGAACGTCTGCGCGACCTCGCACACGGAAAGGAAGCCGTCCAGCTCGACCTTGACCTCGTCCAGTTCCTCTTCACGCGCGGCCGACCCGCCCTGAACGCTATCCAACCTGGAGAGAGAGAGAGTGATAGAGATAGAGTGACAGAGAGAGAGGCGGAGAGGGGAAGAGAGGAAGAGAGAGAGAGTAAGAAGGGAAGGAACGCTGAAAGTTCTTTTTGCTAGAGAGGAATGTTCCCCTTCCCCTGCAACGATGACTGTATCAAGCCAACTCGGAAGGAAAAGTTTGGTTTTTCCCCATGGTAGAGCATAGTGGTTTTTTTAGTTTCATTCATGGGTTATCCACCCAAAATTCTAGGGTAGTGTATTAACCTAGTAAATGTTAACGACTGCCGAAAAAATAAGCAGTTGAAAAAGAAGAAACAAAAGAAGAAGAGCTGGAGGAGGAGGATGAGGAGGAGCAGGAGGAGAAGGTGGAGAAGGAGGAGGAGGAGGAGCAGGAGGA